TCCCAGGTCTGGTCAAGGCAAGAGGAGTGGAAGAGAAAAGATAAGCATATTAGAGAGAAGGCTGACTCTGAAGATTTAGATACCTTATAGCCACAGTTCTCAAAGTATGGTCAGTGGGTCCTTTGGACTCTCCAAAACATTTTCAGAGGGTCTGTGTAATGAAAATGAGTTTCACAATACTAAGACATTGTTTACCTTTCTCATTATGTTGATATTTGCAGTGATGGGAAGCATTGGAGGGAAAACTGTTGTTGCCCTAGCATGAATTAAGGCAGCAGCACCCAACTGACCTAACAGTCATTGTGTTCTTCAGCTTTTAGCATCACAATAAAAAAAATCAGTAAAAATTGTTAATTTTATTAAATTATAGCCCCTATGTATATGCCTTCTTAATATTCTGGTTAATGAAATGAGCAGTATATAGAAAGCACTTCTGCATACCAAAGAGCAATGGCTATCTTGAGGAAAAGCACTCAGGCAATTGAGTTATATGCTGTATCATATGACCTCACTGATATGAGGAATTCTTAATCTCAGGAAACAAACTGAGGGCTGCTGGAGTGGTGGGGGGTGGGAGGGATGAGGTGGCTGGGTGATAGACATTGGGGAGGGTATTGCTATGGTGAGCACTGTGAATTGTACAAGACTGTTGAATCACAGATCAGTACTTCTGAAACAAATAATGCAATATATGTTAAGAAAAAAAGAAGAAGAGCACCTGGGTGGCTCAGTTGGTTAAGCGACTGCCTTCAGCTCAGGTCATGATCCTGGAGTCCCAGGATCGAGTCCCGCATCAGGCTCCCTGCTCAGCAGGGAGTCTGCTTCTCCCTCTGACCCTCCCCCCTCTCATGTGTGCGCTCTCTCTCTCTCATTCTCACTCTCTCAAATAAATAAATAAATAAATAAAAATTTTAAAAAAACCTATTCTTAAAAAAAAGAAAAAAAGAAAAAGAAGATAGCAGGAGGGCAAGAATGAAGGGGAGTAAGTCAGAGGGGGAGACGAAACATGAGAGACTATGGACTCTGAAAAACAAACTGAGGGTTCTAGAAGGGAGGGGGGTGGGGGGATGGGTTAGCCTGGTGGTGGGTATTAAAGAGGGCACGTACTGCGTGGAGCACTGGGTGTTATGCACAAACAATGAATCATGGAACACTACATCAAAAACTAATGACGTAATGTATGGTGATTAACATAACAATAAAAAATTTTTAAAAAAAAAGAACAACTCACAAACAAACTATGGTTTTTCAGATTTGGGTATCTGGCAGACATTTCTCAAAACTGAGTAAAGTAAGCTTCTCACCTAAAGTAAAACAACTAATGATATTTGTTGTCTAATGATAAAATTTGAGCTTTCAAGTCAAAACTAGAACGATGTTAAATATGTATCCGTCACTATGACCTTGACAGCTTCCCACTACTCACTTTTTAATGAGATTAATGGTGACATTAATGAATGTGCTTTTTAAAAACATTTTATTTATTTATTTATTTATTTATTTATTTATTTATTTATTTAGTGTGAGCAGGGGGACGGGCAAAGGGGGAGAGAGAGAGAGAATCTCAAGCAGACTCCGCACTAAGCACAGAGCCCAACACAGGGCTCCATCTCACAACCCTGACATCATGACCTGAGCCAAAATCAAGAGTTGGATGCTTAACCAACTGAGCCACCCAGGTATCTCTAATGTGATTTTTTTGACATTGTATAGTGAATTATGTGGGAGTTGAGAAGATATAGCTCAGGGCACTGGTAGTTTTCTAGATTGATGCTTGGGTAAGAAGATCTAGTCAAAATGCAAGATAGATCAATGCACTTTAATCTAATAGAATAGAAAAAATTCACTGATATGGTTTCAGATTCCACATTAAGTAAACTCTAAGAAACTGTCACTTGCTGAGTTTTGGTGCAATGTCAAGGAAGACTATGCACAGTTATCTGAAAACACTATTAAAATATGGCTCTTTTCTCCAATCATGTATCTGAGCAAGACCAGTTTTCTTTCTATATTTCAGCTAAAACTTATTTCAACAGATTGAATGAAGAAACAGAGATAATAAATCCAGCTGCCCTCCAGAAGGCCAGATAAGAAAGGTTTGCAAAAATGTACAACAATGCCACTCTTCTAACTATTTTTTTTGTTTTAGAAAAAAATTATTTTTCATAGAATGTGTTAACTTGCAATGAGTTCACTATTGCTATTTTTAAATGGACTAATTACATATTTTTAAAAATTCTGTTTTAATATCCAACATGGCTAATAATGATAGATATAACCCACAAAAACAAAAGCTCTCTGGGGTTCCTCATAATTTTTAAGGTGTAAGTGGATCCTAAGAACCTAAGAATGACTGCTAGAGACTATGAAGGAAATTGAGGATCCAAATATGGAAGAGTCAACACATTGGGGGCCCTTAAAAGAACAAGAAAAGCCAAGAGAAAAAGTAGAGTTTGGGCAGGGATGGTGGAGAGGGGAACAGTGGTCTGTTGGGTTTTGAGCACGTGGCGTGCCCACAGTACTTGGAGATAAAGTCCAGCAGGCAGCTGGGAATACTATCTGGAACTTGAGGGAAGAATTTGAGATAAGGACTTAGATTTGGGATTTATTTTCATAGAGACAGTAGTCAGAAACAAGAGTCTTGCTCCATTTGATGAGCAAATCAAAAGCGAGCAAAACCTTAATGGGGAGTTACCAGACTCAAGGAGTAGAAGGAAGACAAATTAGGAAGACAAATGAAAGAAAAATCTAAAAGAGGAGGAAACCTAGACTAGTGCAGAGTATTGCAAATGCATTTATTGTTTGTTTGGTTGGTTTTATCAAACACTACGGACCAGGCATCGGCCCAGGCAGTTGACATGAATGCTCCCATTTATTTCATCATTCATTTCATATGGTGACCTTGGAAGGCTGTATTAATCATCTCATTTTGCAGATGAAGAAGAGGAGGCTGGGCTTTTGACACTTGGTTCTGAATTTGGAGAGGATGCTTAATAGTGTCAAATACTTCAGAGTGTGATGAAGGGGAACCAACCAAGAAAAGGCAAATGGGATAGACAAATAGTCAGAGGGAACTTCTGGAGAATCAGATAGCCCAGTATTTGGAAATAGCCAGTCAAGCACAGTGCAAGATATCTTTTTTATTTTATATTTTATTTTATATTTTATTTTATATTTTATTTTATTTTATTTTATTTTATTTTATTTTATTTTATTTTATTTTATTT